AAAACGCCAAGGGGGATGAATACTTTTGCAAGGCACTGTATAAGCCGCCTCCAATGTCGTTTTAGAGAATTTGGCAGTACATCCAACCGGCCTCAAAACCGCAGACCACGTGTATGGTGTCGTGTGGGCGAGCGGTTTGCTGATGTCAACGTTGTGAACAGAGTGCCGCATGGTAGCGGTGGGGTTATGGTACGGGCAGGCATAAGCTACTGACAACGAACATAATTGCATTTTATTGATAATAATTGCAATTTGAATGCACAGAAATACTGTGACGAGATCCGGAGGCCCATTTTCTAAAAAGGTATCCGTGACGAACAGATGCATATCTGTATTCCTAGTCATGTGAAATCCATAGATTAGACCCCAATGAATTTATTTAAATTAACTGATTTCCTCATGAACTGTAACTCAGTAAAGTCTTGAGTTACAGTTGCATGTTGCATTTATATTTTTGTTCAGTATACATACTGTGTAGGTCTACTAATACTGTAGTAGGCTACTACATACTGTTTAGAACATACTGTTTAGTAAAAACGTATGCAGTAAGCAACACATATCAATATGCCATTTAGCAGACGCTTTTATCCAAAGCGACTTACAGTCATGTGTGCATACATTTTTACGTATGGGTGGTCCCCGAGATCGAACCCACTACCCTGGCGTTACAAGCACCATGCTCTATCAATTGAGCTACAGAGGACCACAGCATACTGAGAAGGCGTCATCTTACGACGTTATCTATAATAATATTTCTTTTTTTATACTCACAGAGCTGCCAACTTTCACGCATTGAAAAGTACTACTTTTATTTTTCTAAGTCCATTGTATAGTGCGTTCACTTTTAAACTGTGCTCCAAATCGTTTTGAAATCGGAGGATTTGTGACCGCAATTTAACATCACGACCAGAACATCTTTCATTGTCCTGTCTTGCCACAGAACTGTGAACCGCGACACATTGAAGCATTTGATTGGTGTAGTTATGTAAGGATCAAGGGGATTGGATGCGCGTTTTAATGAAACGCACCTCAAGGGCCCCGTGTAGCTCGGTTAGTAGAGCATGGCGCTTGCAACGCCAGGGTTGTGGGTTCGTTTCCCACGGGGGGCCAGTATGAAAATGTATGCACTCACAAACTGTAAGTCGCTCTGGATAAGAGCGTCTGCTAAATGACTAAAATGTAAATGTAAAGATTAGAGTGGAGCTGAATGGAAAGAGAACGTTCTCCGCTGAGTTTATAAAACTGTAAAAAGAGCAGCACCGTAGCGCTGATTTTATGTACAATGTTGCCAATAAAATTAGGTTGCTGTTACTCCCGTCCCTATTGCAGAATGCAGCCTTGTGACAGCATGTACTAAAATCGATTTAGTCCCCTCTTTTGGCGATTGGCATTTAGGCTTTGACAACAAAAAGGCAGCAGACAGACCTACAGTATGTTATAGCAGGGAAGTTTGGTAGGGTGATCTGATTTCTAACTATGAAAATAATTTTGTCAAACAGATTGTGAACCCAAAAGTGTTTGTTTGATTCTAGAGGAGGGACAATACATACAACAATTATTTGGTTAGGGTTTAGGGGCAGATTTATGTAATCTTGTCTTCAATAGATTTTATTATCAATTTACTTTATTTAGTCTGATCAGTTGAACAATTCTCATTTTTAACAATTGGCTCAAATAAAGGGTAATTAGTGTGCTTGCCAGCAGGAACACTAATGTTATTCCCCACAGTTACAGTATTTTATTATTCCACTTCTTCCCAATTTTGCCAGTGTCTGAAATGCCTACTTGTGTCTCTGAAAATGATTTATATAAGGCTATGTCTTTTTGCAGTCATTCATGGACAGTTTTGAATAAGTCCTACAAATAAGCATTGGATATTAAATGCTCCAGGCCATTTTAGTATAGAGCACATGTTAGGCAGAGATGGTAGAGGGGGACTCACAACTCATAAACGCATCATACATTTTGTCTATGTAGAGTAAGATGATGGAAAGAATCTTCAACTAGTAGGCATAAACCACCTGAAAATTGATAATCATAAGATTTTTTTAAAGGTTGGGTGATTGAGAAATTAATTGTTATAACAAGAACATTTTCAACCACCCAGCACTGGGGAAACATCGATCAGTGGTGGCCAACCCTCCTGGAGAGCAAGCAGGATTTTCTTCCAGACCTATTTTAAAGAGAGAGTTCACCAAAATGACAAAATACAAAATGTTGGAAGCAGTCTATGGACAAGGAGCCTGCAATCTATGATTTGGTTACCCACTGCCATCAACCATTAATATTAGTATTTCCTGTGCAGAGCATTCCCACCAACCTTCCCACAGTTTCTCACATTTGCCTGTCTCCCCATCTAATTTTAATTAATGTCTGAATAAAGTGTCAAAACACCTAAAAAAACATGTATAAAAAATATTAACGTACTTTAAATTTCATCCCCCAAAAATCTAAAAGTAACAAAGTCGTCGAATTTATGTTCAAAGAATTCTGAATAAACCTGACCTTCAAGCTTTCTTCAAAAGTTGTCAGCCCTGTACTCCGCTGATAGGGGCCACAGGAGTTTGGTGGCACCTTAATTGGGGAGGACGGGCTCGTGGTAATGGCTGGAGCAGAATTAGTGGAATGGAATCAAATACATCTAACACATGGTTTGATGCCATTCCATTCGCTCCGTTCTGGCCAATATTATGAGTCGTCCTCCCCTCAGCAGTCTCCACTGGTAGGGGAAAATGTACTTCAAATCATTGTCTTCATGAATGGTTTCATGTGAGCTTGGTTGCATCCCCATCATAAAGTGTAAGGAGGCATTTGATATCACAAAGTATGCAGAATTTCCATTTCTCCTGGATTGCCATTTCTCATTTATACTGAACAAAAATATAAACGCAACATGCAACAATTTCAAAGATTTTACTGAGTTACAGTTCATATAAGGAAATCAGCCAATTGAAATAAATTCATTAGGCCCTAATCTATGGATTTCATATGACTGGGAATACAGATATGCATCTGTTGGTACCTTAAAAAATGTAGGGGCGTGGATCAGAAAACCAGTCAGTATCTGGTGTGACCACCATTTGCCTCATGCAGCCCGACACATCTCGTTCTCATAGAGTTGATCAGGCTGTTGATTGTGGCCTATGGAATGCTTTCCTACTCCTCTTCAATGGCTATGCAAAGTTGCTGGATATTGGCGGGAACTGGAAGACGCTGTAGTACATGTCGACCCAGAGCATCCCAAACATGCTCAATGGGTGACATGTCTGGTGAGTATGCAGGCCATAGAAGAACTGGGACATTTTCAGCTTCCAAGAATTGTGTACAGGTCCTTGTGACATGGGGCTGTGCATTATCATGCTGAAACATGAGGTGATGGCGGCGGATGAATGGCACGACAATGGGCCTCAGGATCTCATCAAGGTATCTCGGTGCATTCAAATTGCCATCGATAAAATGCAATTGTGTTTGTTGTAAGTAGCTTATGCCTGCCCGTACTATAACCCCACCGCCACCATGGGGCACTCTGTTCACAACGTTGACATCAGCAAACCGCTCGCCCACACAACGCCATGCACGTGGTCTGTGGTTGTGAGGCCGGTTGGACGTACTGCCAAATTCTCTAAAACGACATTGGAGGCGGCATATGGTAGAGAAATTAACATTAAATGATCTGGCATCAGCTCAGGTGGACATTCCTGCAGTCAGCATGCCCATTGCAAGCTCCCTCAAAACTGTGGCATTGTGTTGTGTGACAACTGCACATTTTAGAGTGGCCTTTTGTCCCCAGCACAAGGTGCACCTGTGTAATGATCATGCTGTTTAATCAGCTTCTTGATATGCCACACCTGTCAGGTGGATGGATTATCTTGGCAAAGGAGAAATGCTCACTAACAGGGATGTAAACAAATTTGTGCACAACTTTTGAGAGAAATACGTTTTTTGTGCATATGGACAATTTCTGGGATATTATATTTCAGCTCATGAAACATGGGCCCAACACTTTGCATGTTGCGTATATATTTTTGTTCAGTGTAGTTAGTCCCATCTCACCCCAGAAATGCAAATCAGTTGTCAAATCAGTTTACAGTGAAAATACATAGATGTATGTATGTTTCTAACAGATCCATAAGTGTTCTCCAAAATGTCCCAGATATGTTAATATACAAATCATATGCAATAGTGACATTTTACACCAGTAGGCTACAGCATGCTAGCGGTCTCTATCAGTACTGTTGAAATCAATTTGATCTATGGGTAAACGAGGACACCTAGTGGTTGATTTCTCCATAACCATCAAAATAGAGCCTTGACTCTCATAGGGACCTACCTCACTGTCACCGTTATTTAGAAGGAGTGCAAAGGCAAATTCAGTTATAGCACACGCGCACTTCACAGAGTAGGCGTTCCCTAACGGAAATATGCGCAGGCATGCTAGAACGCGCCAATAGGATCTCGCTAGCTAGTGCTTGGCTCTGCCCACCTCCATGCTTGTTCTGCCCACTATGACTAATTTGTTCACATTTGAAACGACGGGCTGTGGTCTATCTTGGTTTTATACAAATTCTTTGGTTGCATCGGTTTCCACTGGACTAGACTAGAGTTTGCTAGGCTGGCTAGCTAGCTAACGCCGGCTAGCTGGCGAATGACAATGGATACACAAGCAAATGGTACAGAACTCATAACAAAATAATGTTTTGACATTGTAGTGGCTATTTCTGTTTTGGTTGTTTGTTTTTTGCTTAGTGACATTGCGAATATCATCTTTTGGGATTTATGTATCTACCGTAATCCGGTTTCAGCATGAGAAATGATTGAAATCCCACATTCCATTGAGGATTTGCCAATCACTAATACGGAGCCTCAGAAGTAAGAAATCTGGTCATGGATTAGGAGCCACGCAGTATCTCGCGGGAATTTGGGATTTCATCAGTCATTTCTCATACCGAAACCGGATTAGAAACATAAATGCCTAAATATGATGTTGGGCGTGCTTTACCTTTGCTGTAGATGCAGCTGAAGTCCTTGGTTATGCTGAAGGTGTTATCACTTGCTGTCTGTGTAGGGTTGATGTCAGAGGAGCTTCTCTGCAGTTTACTCTCTGCCAAAACCTGCCCACCTGGTTTAGCATTTTCAATTATGCTTTCTGGAACAATTAAACCCAGAGTACATGATGCTCCAATACAATATTGACTATATGTCTATATTGTCATGAGGAATTCTTCGAATTTTGACATTTAAATTCATGCAAAGGCCTGTATCCAAGATAACATGTTGGATATGTTTTTTCATACCATGTGATGTGTACCATGTGAGTCCAACATATTATTCAAATAGATATGCTACCATTAATAAATTGTCATACTTACAGATATTATAAATGAAAAACTTGCCATGCCATTCAAAATACATGAAGAGGATAGCCAGAAAAAGGACAGTTATTTAAAATATATAAGTCCATTATAATATTTACATACTTTATATCTCATAGAAGTTCAAGAGTGACCTGGAGTGTTTTTTGAAACCCAAAATATCCCCCCCCCCCCCCCAAAAAAAAAGAGTTACGTCATCCTGACATAACCAAATAGAGACACCATATAGATACATCTAAATAATTGATTTGCTCATTTGACGCTTACCTGGCAGCTGCAAATAATCCATAATAAGCCCACATATGATTGAGTTCTGGGAGTGAAGTTTGTCCTGTATCTCACTGTTCCACTGCTGCCCCTCCATGAGATGCACCTGGAATGGTTGTGTGGACTATATAACCCCTGGAGGAACTAGGCGTGGTGGTGGGCGCATTATGACACAAGGCTATTCAACCTGAATGAAACGATGCTATTACATAACCCTTTGAGACTGAGAGAGCCTCCCCAAAATGTTTCAGACAATCACTAGCTACCACATCAATTCATTATTATCACTTTGGTCCTTTTTTGTCCATTTGTGTGTAATTATTTAGCTCAAAATATGTTTGTGTGTGCTACTCAACCTGCATACAGTACTCTGAAGGATCAAAAAGAGACTTATGAATGTTACCTTTTTTTTGGTCTGAGGACACCATTAAAAAAATTAAAACTGGCAACTGGATTTATAGGACAGCAAAATAGTTGTTATTGCTTTGTGAGAATGCATGACTCCCTGTCAAAATAAAGGTTACATCAAATGAGCTCCCACTCCTCCCACATGATGACCTTTGACATCACCTACTAATGAAATGACCTTGATAACAGCATTATCAGCAATTAAATGCAACAATCTTTCATGGCATTCAGTGTTTACATAGCCTTTAAAGTAGACACATTAACTTTTAAACTTCTTGAATTAGGCTATATGGTAGTAATGTGTGGCTTCATGTAATATTTTGCTTTCAAATTACAGCTCCATCCAGGTATTACCAGAGCCAATGTCCACTTTTCTTTTCAGGTGATTATCAACTATATATAACCATTTCAAGTTAGTGGTAAAGCATTATCTTGCATATGAAAAGTCCAAGGACTTTGTCCTAGCTCTAATTAAAGTAAATGTTATTTTTGCAAACTTTAGCACTTGGGATAGGCTACTGCGGTAACTGGTAGGCAGGTTAGAGATACTGCCACTATTTAGAGGGATAATTTGACTATGTTTGTGTGTCCTATTTAGAGAACCTGGTGAACTGGTTTGGTTGGTATGTCAGTACTTGCAAGAACTTGAAAACTAGTTTTTGTGGGCTGACATGCATTCTGTAACTCACGACTGCTTCTTCAACTAAAAACTTCAACCTGGACTAAGCCCATAAGATTGCCTTAAGAGATTTGCAGCAATGTCATGCAGGAACTTTACCTTAGGCTGCTGAGCGATAAAGATCTAGAGGTCAACATCCTTGCCAGTCCAGACCAGATACAGGTTTGCTGATTATCTAAGCTTCATTTCTTTTTTGGTCAATGACAAAATAGGCTTCTTTTACTTAATCCTTATAGTCATACACAGGGTCTTGAAGGACACACACACACACACACACACAACACACACACACAGGGCAGGACATAACCAAGTAGTCTTTTCCTTTTTTCAGTATGAGTGATTTAATGAGGATTACGGAATCACGCACTGACTTGACAAATGTCTTCTCTCTAATAGGGTAGATGGAGCCAGACATGAATTCAAATAAGTACTGTGACACAACACATCTGTAAAGAGGAGGGGAGGCGAGACCAAGAGCGTGTAACATCTGAGTTTCCCTCTGGATGTGCAATGGTTCCCTAATCTGCATATTCTAACTGAGGGAACAACAGACTGTTTGGGGTTTGACATCTTGTGACTGTCATTGACACAACAGACCAAACTCATGATTATGGAACCTGTCTCACAACAAAACTCAGTGTTAGAATGTCAGATCTGTCTGAACTACTACAATTTGCGGCGCAGGCCCAAGCTCCTGGACTGCCAGCACACCTGCTGCTCGGTGTGCTTGACCCAGATGAAGATAAACCAGAGTGAGCTGCGCTGCCCCTGGTGTCGCTCTGTCACCACCCTGCCCCCTGGGGTCTCCGTCTCCCAGCTCCCTGATGACCCGGACACTATGGCCGTCATCTCTGTCCCATCCCCCACAGAATATACACCTGTCTTCATACAGCTGCCTAGTAACACCTGCTACCTGTCTGTAGACCACCAAGAAAGGGCTACAGTGCCTGGTGAACATTCAGGTAGGCACCTACTCGCTGGGCAGCCAAAGGGGATGTCTCCTGTGCCTGTGTCTGATGAGGAAAGACCAGGGTTGGGGGAGGAATATGGGGAGGAAGGTTGTTGTAAGAGCTCGTTCAAGACCAGGGTGGGCTTAGTGGTTCTTCTGGGTTTTGTCCTACTCTTACTTGTGTACATTGTACTGTACAACATGACCTGCATCTACAAACGGTTCACCATGATATCCTGTGGCTGAAAGACTGGATACTAATAAGCTGTTTGGAATCTTTCTCACTCCCCAAAATTACAGGACATTGTCACAATGCCAGCATTCAGGCTATTTCTTAACAAGGGATAGTGCTGTCGTACTGAGGGAAGAAATGGTTGTTATATTTTGTATTTGGAATGTGTACAGATATATTGATGAATTTGAATTTTTCAAAGGATCTTTCATATTTTTGTGCAATAAAGAGTTAAAGCAATATAACCAATCACCATTATTCCAGCTTCTCCATTGTGATTCATTCAGAAAAGCAACAAAAATCGAACTTGTGTTCATTCGTATGAAAAACATAACTGACCCATTTTAGAGCTTGTGATTGTATTTGTTCAAGTCTTCATTTTTACCTACAGATGGTAGTGATGGACTTTTTAGTGAAATGTAATATTTTAGGCCAATATGATTATGTTACACACTTTAATAACCTTTCAGTTGATACAATTACCAAATTACAGCGTCAACTGTTGCCTACTTAACATTCATATTTAGAAATTTATGAAAATATCAAACTTCAGAAATGATATATAAAAAATGAAACCATGCTCGTTGTCCTCTTAGATATGTATGCTACAATATTGTTGTACACAAATGAAATGAATGAATGAAGAAATAAACTGGCTACATTATAACAATTCCCTGATACTCTGGAATACAAAAATAATATTTATATTTGTATATAAAAAAGGACTGTAATCATGCAATAAAACATTTGAGAACAATTAGTACGTCTAGAGATATATTTAGTTTTCTGATTGTTTTTACCTATTTTACTCTAATTGCATGTTTTACAGTTGATCTGAACCACAATCTGATTCATAAAGTGGTCTCAAACCTGATTCAGCCAACCTGATTCATAAATTGGTCTCAATCCTGATGCATATATCATGACCGAGACAAGCGATCTCCTCCAACAGGTAGTCCACATCCTCTGTCTGTGTGGCCGGGTTGGAGAAGACACATCGGAAGAAGTTCACTTTGTCTCCAAGCGGCTGATAGCCAATCATGGCCATCCCCTGCTCCATCATCTTGGCTTTGATCTTTGGTGCCACCTTAGAAACCAAACAGTTATTTAGCTATAGCTTTATAGAGTATAGATTTAAAGAGTATGAACTGAAGTCATAATGTGTTGCTGCTAGTTATGAGTACAGGTACAGTATCTGCAGCATCTAATGGATAAAGAACCACAAAGGTTGAATTAAGACGCATCTAATATATCACTAACATTAGAAACCCAATGTGTAGCATTACCTCATGGAGTCTCCTGTTCCTCTCAGGACCTGGTGGCATTTTCCTCAGACTTGGTGGGATGTACCAGAAGCACACGTTGCTGTGTTCAGGCTGCATGGGGATGTGTTATAGATAAGGCTTAGCAACGATTCATTTCACTGAGGAATTATTCAATAACTACCGGGACTTTAAAAAAAACAGACTTACTTTGCCTTTGAAGACGAGTTCAAAGTCTGGTCTTTGTTTGATTTTGTCAAACAAGTGCTCAGCATTTTCCAAACATTTATTGACCTGTGATTCAAAGCCTTCTGAACCCTAAGAAGAGACATATAAAAAATACAATATAAATGTAGAGGAATGGGTATAAAATGTGTTTTATTGATCAGTTGATAAAGAAAATAAAAAGATCCATGTGAGTGTGGTTACATACCTTGGCCTTCCACATGAGCCAGAGCTTGAAGACATCAACGTGTCTGCCACACTGAATGGTCTTGTCTCCGGTGTCATACGAGGTGTCATAGTGCTTGTCAGTTTGGAAGAGGTATTCTGCACACAGCTGATTACAGGCTTGCAAGAGGCCCTGTGAGTGAGAAACCACTGATTACATTATGTGTGTGTGTGTGTGTGTGTTTCTCTGTGTGTGTGTTTCTGTGTTGTGTGTGCATGTAATGTTCATCTTGATTTTAGAAAAATCATAGTGTTAGACTACTCACCCTTTTCTTCACCAGTATGGCTGAGCATTGCAGCGGAGCACCCATCATTTTATGAGGGTTCCAAGTCACAGACCAGGCTCTATAATGAAAATAATTCAAATAGACCTGCATGTAAGAACCAATCAAGGCAGTTGCTGTTGAGGGTCAATTCCAATTCAATTGTAAATGGAAACAGTACCCCCCAAATTGAATTGATCCTGGCTATACGTTAGAGTGAAAACTAGCAATATATTATCTTTTCGGGGAGCTGTAGATTTTGGGTGTCCTCAAGTCTCTGTTCTCTCTGGTTACCGTACCTACCGTTCAATCCCTTGTAGTTTCACACGGTGCCTCTTGGACATCAACAGTCCTCCGCCCCAGGCTGCCTGTTAAGAAATAAAGAGAATCTTACTGTAAATACAATCTTATCTTCACATATTTTATAAATTCTTATGGGGACGGTTTCCCAGACACAAATTATGCCTAGTACTGGACTAAAAAGCATGGCCAATTGAAACATATTTTAAATCCAGGATAAAGATAAATCTGTGTCCGTTAAACCGTGATGTATAGACAGATGCTTTAAGGTAAATACATCAACATGCAGCCAGAGTCCATGGCTCTCACAGATGTCTGCGATGGCATTGAGAGGATCAAAGGCTCCGTACACAGTGGTGCCTGCTGTGGCATTGACGTAGAACGGGACACAACCCTGAAGAGAGAGAGAGAGAGGGAGAAAGATGACAGGAATCATGATGAGTGTATTGACCTGATCCTGTGAAATAATCCCTGCCAACGCACTGGAGCTCTGGTAGCTCATTTTATGCACCAGACAATGTTGTTGACTGGAAAACAGAAATTCTGGTTTGATCTGTTGGGGGTGTCTGTTTCTTCCTAATTTGACTAAATCCTTCCCTGGCTGAAAATACTGTATACAGGTATGCTTACATGTATTTCATTCAAAAATCCCTTTATTCCTCAGTTTGGCAAGAGCAGACTCATTCATCCATTACCTGATCTTTGGCAGTAATGATACTTGACTCCAATTCTGCAGGGATCATCTTTCCCCTTGAATAGAAAAAACAACATCACTCCTCTAGCTCTGATGATATTGTCAACATTCACGATCAACAAATGCAAATCACTCTGCCGTCCTTGCTTACCGGTCATCACATTTCACCACCACAACATTTTCACTCCCTATCCCAAGGACTGCCGCAGATTTCTTGACTGAATAATGACTCTAGAGGAGGGAAAAAAGTATTTGTCAGTACATGTTTATAGATAATGTGAATAAACATGACCTAATGTGAATATTGGTGATGCGTACATGTGCTGAGGTGAAGAGGATTAGCCTGGGCAGAGCAGTCATCCCTTTGGTCTTCACTTCAGGGAAAAAGTGGTATCTGGCCAGTAGTACACTGTACAGATTGGACATGGTCCCTCCTGAGGAAATATATATACATACTGTATTATAGATGGATATCTCACTAAGAGATTGTCTTAATCTTATAATTTAATTTAACTTCATAACAATTAAACAATATATCCAAGATTAAGAGGACAAAATGAACCAATTCAATGGAAGTAACAAGGATAAATGTATCACAGTGTATGTTTGTCATTGGCTACATTGTTTGTGTTGATAGTAAGGTCAGAATGTAGCTAACACTGTACCTGGACAGAAAACACCATCCCCCTCTTCCTCTGACCAACCCACAATCTCCTGCATCTTCCTCAGTAGAACCTCCTCCATCAGAATGAACACTGGGGACACTTCATAAGTAAACCTAGAAAAATGGTTTTACATATTGGATCTTTAACTCATATTGCAGAATGACATTTACCAGAGAACAGATCACACCGTAGTCCCTAGTGTCAACTGGGCCCGTATGTATCAAGCGCCTCAGAGTAGGAGTGCTGATCTAGGATAAGGTCCACCCTGTCTATATAATTTTATTCATTATGATCTAAAACAGGGTTTCCCAAACTCAGTCCTGGGGCCACGCCTGGGTGCACATATTTAGTTTTTGCCCTAGCACTACACAGCTGATTCAAATAAACAACTCATCAAGTTTTGATTACTTGAGTCAGCTGTGTAGTGCTAGGGCAAAAACAAAATATGTTCACCCAGGGGGAATGTATTTTTTGCTTCCAATTGGCTTATTCATCCCCCCTCCTCTCCCTTGTAACTATTCCCCAGGTCGTTGCTGTAAATAAGAATGTGTTCTCAGTCAACTTTCTAAAATTAAAAAGGAATGTAAATCTTACATGTTTGTGTTGGCGGTAGATGTCAGCCATTCCCCGGCCAGACCGATGACATCCAGCCCTGATGACAGCTGATTGAAGAAGCGTGGGTGACCTGGGGACAGATGAGGACATTCTGGAACATTCTACAAATCTATGATGTCTGTAATGTCAGCCTTTCCCATGGCCAGAACCAATGGCACAGCTGATTAACATTATCAAAGATTGATGATTAGTTGATTATTTGAATCAGCTGTGTAGTGCTAGGGCAAAAAACAAAACATGCACCCCTTGGGGTCCCGAGGACCGAGTTTGGAAAACCCTGCCCTAACCCTAGCCTAGCTAATGTTACCCACCTAGCTAACGTTAGCATTAGCGACCTAGCTAACCTTAGCCACAACTAATTGGAATTCTTAACATACCATACGTATTTCAAATTCGTAACATTTTGAATTGCAATTCGTAACATATACAAATTGTAATTCGCAACATAACATACAAAATGGATGATGGACATCCACAAATTAATACACACCACACAAACAGTGTGGTGAAGAAGTCGCAACAGTGCCTCTTCACCCTCAGGAGGCTGAAGAAATTTGTCTTGGCCCTTAAGACCCTCACAAACCTTTACAGATGCACCATTGAGAGTGTTCTGTCGGGCTGCATCACCACCTGGTACGGCAACTGCACCGTCCGCAACCGCAGGGCTGTCCAGAGGGTGGTGCGGTCTTCCCAACGCGTCACCGGGGGCACATTGCCTGCCCTCCAGGACATCTACAGCACCCGGTGTCACAGGAAGGCCAAGAAGATCATCAAGGACCTCAGCCACCCGAGCCATGGCCTGTTCACCCCGCTACCATCCAAAAGGCGAGGTCAGTACAGGTGCATCAAAGCTGGGACCGAGAGACTGTAAAACAGCTTCTATCTCAAGGCCATCAGACTGTTAAATAGTCACCACATGACAGCACCCCTAGTCACTGTCACTAGCCAGCTACCACCCGGTTACTGTAACATGCACCTTAGAGGCTTGCGAAAGTATTCACCACCCTTGGCATTTTTCCTATTTTGTTGCCTTACAACCTGGAATTAAAATGGATTTTTGGGGGGTTTGTATCATTTGATTTACACAACATGCCTACCACTTTGAAGTTGCAAAATATTTTTTCTTGACAGATAACTTGAGCGTGCATAACTATTCACCCCCCCCCAAAGTCAATACTTTGTAGAGCCACCTTTTGCATCAATTACAGCTGCAAGTCTCTTGGGGTATGTCTCTATAAGCTTGGCACATCTAGCCACTGGGATGTTTGCCCATTCTTCAAGGCAATACTGCTCCAGCTCCTTCAAGTTGGATGGGTTCCGCTGGTGTACAGCAATCTTTAAATCATACCACAGATTCTCAATTGGATTGAGGTCTGGGCTTTGACTAGGCCATTCCAAGACATTTAAATGTTTCCCCTTAAACCACTTGAGTGTTCCTTTAGCAGTATGCTTAGGGTCATTGTCCTGCTGGAAGGTGAACCTCCATCCCAGTCTCAAATCTCTGGAACACCTGAAACAGGTTTCCCTCAAGAATGTCCCTGTATTTAGCACCATCCATCATTCCTTCAATTCTGACCAGTTTCCTAGTCCCTGCCGATTTAAAAACGATGTATGTTCTTGGGTGATGAGAGGTGTTGGATTTGCGCCAGACATAGCATTTTCCTTGATGGCCAAAAAGCTCAATTTTAGTCTCATCTGACCAGAGTACCTTCTTCCATATGTTTGGGGAGTCTCCCACATGGCTTTTGGCGAACACCAAACGTGTTTGCTTGTTTTTTTCTTTAAGCAATGGCTTTTCTCTGGCCACTCTTCCGTAAAGCCCAGCTCTGTGGAGTGTACGGCTTAAAGTGGTCCTATGGACAGATACTCCAATCTCCGCTGTGGAGCTTTGCAGCTCCTTCAGGGTTATCTTTGGTCTCTTTGTTGCCTCTGATTAATGCCCTCCTTGCCTGGTCCTTTAGTTTTGGTGGGCGGCCCTCTCTTGGCAGGTTTGTTGTGGTGCCATATTCTTTCAATTTTTAAATAATGGATTGAATGGTGCTCCGTGGGATGTTCAAAGTTTCAGAGATTTCTTTAGAACTCAATCCTGATCTGTACTTCTCCACAACTTTGTCCCTGACCTGTTTGGAGAGCTCCTTGGTCTTAATGGTGCCATTTGCTTGGTGGTGCCCTTTGCTTAGTGGTGTTGCTGACTCTGGAGCCTTTCAGAACATGTGTATATATACTGAGATCATGTGACAGATCATGTGACACTTAGATTGCACACAGGTGGACTTTATTTAACTAATTATGTGACTTCTGAAGGTAATTGGTTGCACCAGATCTTATTTAGGGGCTTCAAAGCAAAGGGGGTGAATACACATGCACGCACCTCTTTTCTGTTATTTATTTTTTTGAATGTTTTGAAACAAGTTATTTTTTTCATTTCACTTCACCAATTTGGACTATTTTGTGTATGTCCATTACATGATATCCAAATAAAAATCCATTTAATTACAGGTTGTAATGCAACAAAATAGGAAGAAAGCAAGGGGGATAAATACTTTTGCAAGGCACTGTACATAGTCATGGAACACTGGTCACTTTAATAATGTTTACATACTATTTTACACACTTCATATGTACAGCATATACTGTATTCTAGTCAAGGCATATCCTATTTAACTATTGCTGTACATATACTATTCTTCAGATATATTACATATTCTATCCATATACTGTCCATATTGACTATACAGTGAGGGAAAAAAGTATTTGATCCCCTGTTGATTTTGCACGTTTGCCCACTGACAAAGAAATGATCAGTCTATAATTTTAATGGTAGGTTTATTTGAACAGTGAGAGACAGAATAACAACAAATAAATCCAGAAAAACGCATGTAAAAAATGTTATGAATTGATTTGCATTTTAATGAGGGAAATAAGTATTTGACCCCCTCTCAATCAGAAAGATTTCTGGCTCCCAGGTGTCTTTTATACAGGTAACGAGCTGAGATTAGGAGCACACTCTTAAAGGGAGTGCTCCTAATCTCAGCTCGTTACCTGTATAAAAGACACCTGTCCACAGAAGCAATCAATCAATCAGATTCCAAACTCTCCACCATGGCCAAGACCAAAGAGCTCTCTAAGGATGTCAGGGACAAGATTGTAGACCTACACAAGGCTGGAATGGGCTACAAGACCATCGCCAAGCAGCTTGGTGAGAAGGTGACAACAGTTGGTGCGATTATTCGCAAATGGAAAAACACAAAAGACTTGTCAATCTCCCTCGGCCTGGGGCTCCATGCAAGATCTCACCTTGTGGAGTTGCAATGATCATGTGAATGGTAAGGAATCAGCCCAGAACTACACGGGAGGATCTTGTCAATTATCTCAAGGCAGCTGGGACCATAGTCACCAAGAAAACAATTGGTAACACACTACGCCGTGAAGGACTGAAATCCTGCAGCGCCCGCAAGGTCCCCCTGCTCAAGAAAGCACATATACAGGGCCATCTGAAGTTTGCCAATGAACATCTGAATGATTCAGATGAGAACTGGGTGAAAGTGTTGTGGTCAGATGACACCAAAATCGAGCTCTTTGGCATCAACTCAACTCGCCGTGTTTGGAGGAGGAGGAATGCTGCCTATGACCCCAAGAACACCATCCCCACCGTCAAACATGGAGGTGGAAACATTATGCTTTGGGGGTGTTTTTCTGCTAAGGGGACAGGACAACTTCACCGCATCAAAGGGACGATGGACGGGGCCATGTACCGTCAAATCTTGGGTGAGAACCTCCTTCCCTCAGCCAGGGCATTGAAAATGGGTCGTGGATGGGTATTCCAGCATGACAATGACCCAAAACACACTGCCAAGGCAACAAAGGAGTGGCTCAAGAAGAAGCACATTAAGGTCCTGGAGTGGCCTAGCCAGTCTCCAGACCTTAATCCCATAGAAAATCTGTGGAGGGAGCTGAAGGTTCGAGTTGCCAAACGTCAGCCTTGAAACCTTAATGACTTGGAGAAGATCTGCAAAGAGGAGTGTGACAAAATCCCTCCTGAGATGTGTGCAAACCTGGTGGCCAACTACAAGAAACGTCTGACCTCTGTGATTGCCAACAAGGGTTTTGCCACCAAGTACTAAGTCATGTTTTGCAGAGGGGTCAAATACTTATTTCCCTCATTAAAATGCAAATCAATTTATAACATTTTTGACATGCGTTTTTCTGGATTTTTTGGTTGTTATTCTGTCTCTCACTGTTCAAATAAACCTACCATTCAAATTATAGACTGATCATGTCTTTGTCAGTGGGCAAACGTATAAAATCAGCAGGGGATCAAATACTATTTTACCTCACTGTATATCCCATCACACACACACACACACACACACACACACACTGCGGACTCCGACATCGCTCGTCCTAACATTTATTTATTTATTTCTTAATTCCATTTTTTTACTTTTTAGATTTGTGTGTATTGTTAGATATTACTGCACTGTTGGAGCTAGGAACACAAGCATTTCGCTACACCTGCAATAACATCTGCCAAATACAGTGGGGAAAAAAAGTATTTAGTCAGCCACCAATTGTGCAAGTTCTCCCACTTAAAAAGATGAGAGAGGCCTGTAATTTTCATCATAGGTACACGTCAACTATGACAGACAAAATGAGAAAAAAAAATCCAGAAAATCACATTGTAGGATTTTTAATGGTTTATTGGCATATGATGGTGGAAAATAAGTATTTGGTCAATAACAAAAGTTTCTCAATACTTTGTTATATACCCTTTGTTGGCAATGACACAGGTCAAACGTTTTCTGTAAGTCTTCACAAGGTTTTCACACACTGTTGCTGGTATTTTGGCCCATTCCTCCATGCAGATCTCCTCTAGAGCAGTGATGTTTTGGGGCTGTCGCTGGGCAACACAGACTTTCAACTCCCTCCAAAGATTTTCTATGGGGTTGAGATCTGGAGACTGGCTAGGCCACTCCAGGACCTTGAAATGCTTCTTACGAAGCCACTCCTTCGTTGCCCGGGCGGTGTGTTTGGGATCATTGCCATGCTGAAAGACCCAGCCACGTTTCATCTTCAATGCCCTTGCTGATGGAAGGAGGGTTTCACTCAAAATCTCACGATACATGGCCCCATTCATTCTTTCCTTTACACGGATCAGTCGTCCTGGTCCCTTTGCAGAAAAACAGCCCCAAAGCATGATGTTTCCAACCCCATGCTTCACAGTAGGTATGGTGTTCTTTGGATGCACTCAGCATTCTTTGTCCTCCAAACATGACGAGTTGAGTTTTTACCAAAAAGTTATATTTTGGTTTCATCTGACCATATGACATTCTCCCAATCCTCTTCTGGATCATCCAAATGCACTTCAGACGGGCCTGGACATGTACTGGCTTAAGCAGGGGGACACGTCTCGCACTGCAGGATTTGAGTCCCTGGCGGCGTAGTGTGTTACTGATGGTTGGCTTTGTTACTTTGGTCCCAGCTCTCTGCAGGTCATTCACTAGGTCCCCCCGTGTGGTTCTGGGATTTTTGCTCACCGTTCTTGTGATCATTTTGACCCCACGGGGTGAGATCTTGCGTGGAGCCCCAGATCGAGGGAGATTATCAGTGGTCTTGTATGTCTTCCATTTCCTAATAATTGCTCCCACAGTTGATTTCTTCAAACCAAGCTGCTTACCTATTGCAGATTCAGTCTTCCCAGCCTGGTGCAGGTCTACAATTTTGTTTTTGGTGTCCTTTGACAGCTCTTTGGTCTTGGCCATTGTGAAGTTTGGAAGTGTGACTGTTTGAGGTTGTGGACAGGTGTCTTTTATACTGATAACAAGTTCAAACAGGTGCCATTAATACAGGTAACGAGTGGAGGACAGAGGAGCCTCTTAAAGAAGAAGTTACAGGTCTGTGAGTGCCAGAAATCTTGCTTGTTTGTAGGTGACCAAATACTTATTTTCCACCATAATTTGCAAATAAATTCATTAAAACTCCTACAATGGGATTTTCTGGATTTTTTTTTCTCAATTTGTCTGTCATAGTTGACGTGTACCTATGATGAAAATTACAGGCCTCTCTCATCTTTTTAAGTGGGAGAACTTGCACAATTGGTGGCTGACTAAATACTTTTTTTCCCCACTGTATGTGTATGCGACCAATACAATTTGATTTGATATTTTTAGGGACAATACAATTATCCTACTTAGACTAGCCTACAACACCAAAATGCAATGAATACGTGAGTACAAAATTCTACTCTAGGCTGCAGTGAACATTTTTCATTTGAATAACGCGCAAAAGCTCTGTGATTTTAATGTTTCTTTCCATTTGGATCAGTTGTGGGTCTACTCTCGACAGTGTATAAGGTCTAGTGTAGTGTAGGTTATTCGTAGGTGTTATCGTCAATCAAGGAGTCTGCTTAGGCTGGATCGTGTTCAAAGGCCTTTATTCAAACCACGAGGTTCCAGCGTAAGTACGGACACAATATCCGGAGAACCAGACCCAAATAAATCTTGCTGTATTCTAACTCTTCGTCACCGCTCCCCCCTTTATATAGCCTTCCAAGAGTTGAATAGCTCCCTCTACTGTTCAATCCCCATATCTTACCACCCACTTCCTGTCTGTCATATGTGACGTCACGCTAAAACCTTCCCTCTTGATAGCAATAATCAACCTTCCATTTCTTCATGAAAAACCTTTAACAAAGACATAATTTTAATACACTACACTAGAAAGGCACAGTAGCAGGCCAGTCTGGTTGTATTTTTACTTCTGATATTGCTATGTGCGATCTGTTGCAGATCATCATTCTCCGAAGTCGTCCTATAATAATGTTGCCATATAGATGGGTTGGCTGATAACGTCACGAAAACGATGAGCGCTTCCATGGCGAGAAGTCAGCCAGTTGTTGTGATTCTGTTGTGATTCTGGGACGCCAGATTGCTAGCAAGAATGACAAGAAACTGCCATCTGGGGAATTGTAAGTGGCTCATTTCAGCTTGTTTCATCTTGTGTTTAGACTGATTTCACGTCAATGCTAATAAGGCAAAGATTCGCTAGATAGCCAACCACCAACTGTAACAATGTATTTGAGAGACAAGTAGTTATTGTGCAAATGTATTTATGTTTTTAATAAACATTGGAGACAAAATATAGTTTACATGTTGTCAACAATCTAAACCAACCTTGTGTATCAAACACAACCAGTCACAATGTTTTAATCTGATTATGCTACTTCAAAAGTCTGCTGTAGGCATGCGCAAATGCGTCCAAAATATAATTCCAGCATCCTCAAAATGGTTTGACATTAACCAGGTTTCCATCCAACCTTTTGATGCGAGTAAAGTACATGTTGGATAAAACATTTCATGACCAGCCTGATGTAAACAGCTAGCTAATTTGTTGGTAAACTTTCCAAATGTTGACAAAACAAAATACACTAGACAAGGTGGGATATTTTTGTGTCTGTAAAAGGAATTATGCAAGAAATGACAGTAGAAAAGCTTTAACGCTCTAATATTGATATCATAAACATCATATCCAGGGATCGCGTTAGAGTTCAGAAATCTGCATTTTAAACTATTTCACCTGCGTTTTATATTGAAAGTCAAGAGTGTTTTTTTGTTGTTGCTTCAATAGAGTCATCAGGGGCAAGCAACTATAGTTTTCCTTCACAGAAAATACATTAGTGCAACACATTCTGCAGAAAATAGCTTCATTTTCATCAGCTGACAACAGAAGTGCAACACTATTTGGCTAGCAGCCACACAAGTAAATTAGCTTACAATGAAAAAGCAAGGTCTGTTTAGCAAAAACTATGCATGGTCCTCTGCGTGGTCCTCTGTAGCTCAGCTGGTAGAGCACGGCGCTTGTAACGCCAAGGTAGTGGGTTCGATCCCCGGGACCACCCATACACAAAAATGTATGCACGCATGACTGTAAGTCGCTTTGGATAAAAGCGTCTGCTAAATGGCATATTATTATATCATGTTTCTCATAGAAAGAATGTAGCCAGCTACACTTCCTAATGTTTTGCTTGAAGCTAATTTTACCAGAGAAACACAGAGAAAAGTGTCTACACATCAGTCAGAGCGTTGTCTGATGATAGCTGTCTGATGATAGAATGCCCCTTAGTGAATTCTCATCATAAGTGGAGAAGTGCAACTGAAGCACAAAATGAGTCTGATGCCAAACAGAAATTACAATAACGCCTCGATCACACCTACAGTGAAATTGTGTTTTGGTACTCCAGAAGTACATTAATTTCCAATGGAACACTGCGTTTGCCTTGCAGCATTGCGTTACAGAGACAGTTGCAGCGTGTTCTGTGTGGTGCATATGTGGGATTAATCGAACATATGCATCAAATTGTATGCGTAGATGGCTTGACAGAAATGGTAGCAGAAGGTCAAGGTTGAACTTTTGTTGCACACATATCCAGATGATGCTGCCTACCATTTTGTGCAATGATGCTGTAGGTGTGGTCAAGGCGTGAGAAGCATTTTCGACCTGCGTTTACAAAACACAGCAAGATATTTCTTATGCGATTGATCTTTTTTGTCTGCGTGAAAAATGCTGAATTCTGCGTTAACGCAACCCCTGATATCGAAGTACACTTGGAGTCATGAGATGATGTGTTGTGTGGTCCTCCCACTAGACTCTGGAAAGCAGGCAGTTTATTAGGCTACAGATTAAATAAGTTATGATGAACTTCACAGGGTGGTGAAAGTGCACCTGATGAGCTTGATACTCCTTTCAGTAGATGTTGAACTGTCCCTTACGAACTTCTCCCTCTCGCACCCATTTCAGCAAACAGGTAGTACCCGCTCTATATAAGCAAGCTAAAGCCAAAGTTGTCAATGAATTGGCCAATGCACCCTGGGTTGCACTTACTACAGATGGATGGATCTCCAGGGCTACAGAGAGCTACTTAACAGTGACAGCCCATCACATTACCACAGAGTGGGAAATTAGAAGTACCTGTGATACAGACACGCCCCCTTTAGGAGCGTCACACAAGTGTGCATATTTTTCTCTTTCTAAGAAAACATTACAGCATAGGCCTATACAATGTCTGAGCCATGTTTACATATTGATTTCACAGGCATATTGCACTTTATTTTAGTGGTGTTGTTGATGAGTAATCGTGTGTTCTCATTTAAGAAAATACAGCAAGTGTTGGTACTCTGATTGTGCTCTCATCAAGCATTATGACTCATGATCAAATGGAATCAGGAATACCAACACTTGGATTTTCTTAAATAAACAAAAAGGAACTACATTAACTGTTGTCATTTCATTTTCCCGCTGTACCCGAACCGAACCCTGACCCCAAAACTGCAATATGTACTGAACCTTGGGTTTGATTAACTGTTACACCCCTAATGGAGTACAGGTTTTGTACCTAGAGTACATTTTTGGCAAAACAGTCGACAGCTCTTACGGTACCTGTTTTGACTCCATACTTCAAGGTGTCCCTGCAGTCGACCAGGAGTTGTTCCAGGTTCTCTGGCTGGTCTGGGAGATCCAGACTGAAGCCCTCCAGACCCTCTCTGAGTTGGTGAGGGTGGTGGAAGTCCAGGACTTTGGAGCTCCTTCTGAACGACTTGCAGACATAGCTGAGGAGAACGCTCACCAGCTCTTGGAAGAAACCTTTGGTTGTGTCCTCACCACTGAGGGCAGGGAGTAGATCTAAAGATAAAGGGACACGGTCAGGGCTGTAAATTAACTTTTTAAATTTGTAGTCAGTGCTCGTCTTTAAATAATTAAGAGTACCAAAAAGTATGTAGGAGCACCATAAAAAGGGATTGATTTCAATTGATTTAGCCTATAGGCCTGAGAGCACATCCAGGAGCCCCTTTTCTTTCTTCCAGTGCCATCTTAAAGCATACTGGTGGTCGAGTTACCAGGTTGTTAGCCAGCTAGGTAACATGACTGGACAAGGTTGTTTGTTATCAAACAGTTAGCGGCCTGCGAGTAGTTTTAAAAGGTCCAGGATACATGGTTTATGAAATTGAAATATTCAGGTGCATGTATTGAAAGAAAGAAATATTAGCACCGGTAATATGATTCATGTTAGGCTAGCTAATGCTAAAGCAGCCCACAAGACCCTACAGGTATTACAGTCAAAGCTTATGAATATTGTATGTGAATTTCCATATATCAATTACGCTAGCAAAAGGGCTGAATTGTTCAGCAACGTGCAGTGAATGCTAACATGACTTTCGTGATGAAAGGTACATAATGCATTTATTTTGATCTCCCAATCAGGCCACTGTGTGCTGTGACATGGATGGTGACACATCTTCTTCAAGCTGCCTGACTGAACACTGGGGCCTTCAGTGGTACCAGAAGCAAGGGCCTTACCTGGGAGTACAGCAACAGTCTCTCTTTCTCTGTCTCACAGCCATTCTGTCAATATGTATTGTATTTAACCACTCAAATTTATGCAAACTGCTACGGACGCAAACACTGACTTACACTGAGTATACTCAGATCCTCAAAAAGTTATACAGCTGCACCATCGAGAGCATCCTGACTGGTTGCATCACCGCCTGGTATGGCAACTGCTCGGCCTTCGTCCGCAAGGCACTACAGAGGGTAGTGCGTACGGCCCAGTACATCACTGGGGCCAAGCTTCCTGTCATCCATGACCTCTATACCAGGCGGTGTCAGAGGAAGGCCCTCAAAATTGTCAAAGACTCCAGCCACCCTAGTCATAGACTGTTCTCTCTGCTACCGCACGGCAAGTGGTACCGGAGCGCCAAGTCTAGGTCCAAAAGGCTTCTCAACAGCTTCTACCCCCAAGCCATAAGACTCCTGAACAGCTAATCATGGCTACCGAGACTATTTGCACTGCCCCCCCTACCCCCACCCCATATTTTTACGCTGTTGCTACTCTGTTTATTATTTATGCATAGTCACTTTAACTCTACCCACATGTACATATTACCTCAACTACCTCAACCATCCGGTGCCCCCGCACATTGACTCTGCACCGGTACCCCCCTGTATATAGCCTCCCTACTGTTATTTTATTTTACTTGTGCTCTTTTTTTCTCAACACTTTTTTGTTGTTGTTGTTTTATTTTATTTTTTTATAAAAAAAATAAATGCATTGTTGGTTAAGGGCTGTAAGTAAGCATTTCACTATTTGGCGCATGTGGCAAATGAAATTTGATTTGATTTGATATACAAAACATTCCTTATATTGAGTTGCACCCACTTTTGCCCTCAGAACAGCCTCAATTCGTCGGGGCATGGACTCTACAAGGTGTCGAAAGCGTTCCACAGGGATGCTGGCCCATGTTGACTCTAATGCTTCTCACAGTTGTGTCAAGTTGGCTGGATGTCCTTTTGGTGGTAGACCATTCTTGATGCACACAGGAAACTGTTGAGCGTGAAAAACCCAGCAGCGTTGCAGTTCTTGACATACTCAAACCAGTGCACCTGGCACCTACTACCATACCCCATTCAAAGGCAGTTAAATATTTTGTCCATTCACCCTCTGAATGACACATACACAATCCATGTCTCAATTGTCTCAAGGCTTAAAAATCCTTCTTTAACCTCTCCTTCCCTTCATCTACACTGATTGACATGGATTTAACAAGTGACATCAAGAAGGGATCATAGCTTTCACCTGGATTCACCTGGTCAGTCTATGTCATGGAAAGAGCAGATGTTCTTAATGTTTTGTACACTCAGTGTATATTTGGCATTGTGTTTTAGGTTATTGTCCTGCTGAAACGTGAATCTGTCTCCCAGTGTCTGTTGGAAAGCAGACTGAACCAGGTTTTCCTCTATATTCTACTTGTCAAATTCTTTAATCTTGTCTGGGATATACAGTACCAGTCAAGAGTTTGGACACACCTACTCATTCAAGGGTTTTTCTTTCGGACCCTTTTCTTCCATTTTCGCCTATAATGACATACCCAAATCTAACTGTCTGTAGCTCAGGACCTGAAGTAAGGATATGTATATTCTTGATACAATTTGAAAGGAAACACTTTGAAGTTTGTGGAAATGTGAAATTAATGTAGGAGTATATAACAAATTAGGTCTGGTAAAAGATAATACAAACAAAAAAACATGTTTAAAAAAATATATATATATCATCTTTGAAATGCAAGAGAAAGGCCATAATATAATATTACAGTTTAGGTGCAATTTAGAGTTTGGCCAATAGATGGCAGCAGTGTGTATGCAAAGTTTCAGATTGATCCAGTGAAGCATTGCAATACTGGACTATGTTGTATCAAGTCTGCCCAAATGTGCCGAATTGGTCAATTGATACATTTTCAAGTACATAACTATAGAGAACATACAAAAATGATATGGTAACACAAAATGTAAGTTTACACACTCCCAGGAATGTCATACACGATGGATCATTAGCTTATACACTAACTTTCACACATCTAGATGGCCGAGCAGGGGTTCAAACTGTAGAACCCAGTTCCTACATTTGAATATAAAAATGGATTGTATCAAACAAAACTATGCTACATTTTATCTCTGGGACCCTAAGGATGAAAAATCAGAGCAAGATTACTGAATGTAAGTACATTATTTACCTTCAGAGGTGAATGTATCAAACCAGTTGCCGTGCTAAGTTTTTTGTTGTTGTGCACTCTTCTCAAACAATAGCATGGACAGTGCAGTTAGATTAAGAATAATTTAAGCTTTCTGCCCATGTAACATGTCTATGAGCAAGGCACTTATCCCTAATTGCTCCTGTAAGTCGCTCTGGATAAGAGCGTCTGCTAAATGACAAGAAATGTAAATGTAAATATGTCCTGGAAAGTTTGCTGTTTCTTACAACAGTCATGCTAATCACATTAGCGCACGTTAGCTCAACCGTCCCGTATACGGGACACCGATCCCATAGAGGTTAACACTTGTTGGCTGCTTTTCCTTCGCTCTGCCGTCCGACTCCTCCCAAACCATCTCAATTGGGTTGAGTTCGGGGGATTGTGGTGGCCAGGTCATCTGATGCAGCACTCCATCACTCTCCTTCTTGGTAAAATAGCCCTTAAACAGCCTGGAGGTGTGTTGGGTCATTGTCCTATTGAAAAATTAAAGATAGTCCCACTAAGCCCAAACCAGATGGGATAGTGTACTGCTGCAGAATGCCGTGGTAGCCATGCTGGTTCAGTGTGCCTTGAATTCTAAATAAATTCTAAATAAATCCCGGACAGTGTCACCAGCAAAGCACCCCTACACCATAACACCTCCTTCTCCATCCTTTACGGTGGGAACATGCGGAGATCATCCGTTCACCCACACCACGTCTCACAAAGACACGGCGGTTGGAACCAAAAATCTCCAATTTGGACTCCAGACCAAAGGACAAATGACCACTGGTCTAATGTCCATTGCTCGTGTATCTTGTCCAGAGCAGGTATCTTGTTCTTATTGGTGTCCTTTAGTAGTGGTTTCTTTGCAGCAATTCGACTATGAAGGCCTGATTCACACAGTCCCCTCTGAACAGTTGATGTTGAGATGTGTCTGTGACTTGAACTCTGTGAAGCATTTATTTGGGCTGCAATTTCTGAGGCTGGTAACTCTAATGAACGTATACTCTGCAGCAGAGGTAACTCTGGATCTTCCATTCCTGTGGTGGTCCTCATGAGAGCCAATTTCATCATAGCGCTTGATGGTATTTGCGACTGCACTTGAAGAAACTTTCAAAGTTCTTGAAATGTTCCGTATTTGCTGACCTTCATGTCTTAAAGTAATGATGGACTGTTGTTTCTCTTTGCTTATTTGAGCTGTTCTTGCCATAATATGGACTTGCTCTTTTACCAAATAGGGCTATCTTCTGTATAACCCCCCCCCCCCCCCCCCCCCCACAGACACACACACACACACACACACACACACACACACACACACCTTGTCACAACACAACTGATTGGCTCAAACGCATTAAGAAGGAAAGAAATTCCACAAATTAATTTTTAAGAAGGCACACCTGTTAATTGAAATGCATTCCAGGTGACTACATCATGAAGCTGGTTGAGAGAATGCCAAGTGTGTGCAAAGCTGTCATCTAGGCAAAGGGTGGCTATTTGAAGAGTCTCAAATATAAAATATATTTTGATTTGTTTAACACTTTATGGGTTACTACATGATTCCATATGTGTTATTTCATAGTTTTGATGTCTTCACTATTATTCTACAATGTAATACATAGTAAAAATAAAGAAAAACCCTTGAATGAGTAGGTGTGTCCAAACTTTTGACTGGTAGTGTACATTGAGGACTCCCTAGCTGCCAGGTTCATCCGTCCCTCTGCCTCCCCCGCAGGCGCAGGGTTCTTCTTTGTGGAGAAGAAGGACAAAACCCTGCACCCGTGCATCGACTACCGGGGCCTCAACGGTAGAACCGCTACCCGCTACCACTCATCTCCTCTGCCTTCGAGCCGCTCCAGGGGGCCAACGTGTTCTCCAAGCTGGACCTACGGAATGCCTACCACCTGGTGCAGATTCGGGAGGGGGACGAGTGGAAGACTGTCTTCAACAAGGCCAGCGGTCACTACGAGTATCTGGTCATGCCATTTGGCCTTACCAATGCTCCAGCTGTGTTCCAGGCCCTGGTTAATGATATTCTCTGCGACATGTTGAACCGGTTCGTCTTCGTCCACCTCGGGGACATCCTCGTCTTCTCCCGCTCCGCCCAAGAATAAATGCTCCATGTCTGACAGGTCCTCCAACGCCTCCTGGAGAACCAACTTTTTGTGAAAGCGGAGAAATGCGAATTCCATCGCTCCACCATCCCCTTCCTGGGCTACATCATCGCAGCAGGGAGTGTACAGATGGATCCCGGGAAGGTGAGAGCGGTGGTGGATTGGCCCCAGCCTACGTCCAGAGTGCAGCTGCAACATTTCCTGGGATTTGCCAACTTTTATTTCCGCTTTATCCGGGGTTACAGCACCGTGGCTTCCCCCCTGTCTGCACTCACCTCTCCCAAGGTTCCGTTCACATGGTCCCCAGCTGCTGACCGGGCGTTCCGGGTCCTCAAACACCGTTTCACTACTGCTCCCATCTTGGTTCATCCTGACCCGTCCCGCCAGTTCGTGGTGGAGGCCGATGCTTCTGATGTCGGAGTGGGGGCGGTCTTGTCCCAGTGCTCGGCCCTGGACCTCAAGTGACATCCCTGCGCCTTCTTCTCCCATCGCCTCAACACCACGGAGAGGAATTATGATGTGGGGAATCGTGAGCTTCTTGCGGTGAAGATGGCGTTGGAGAAGTGGAGGCACTGGTTGGAGGGAGCAGAACATCCGTTCATTGTATGAACAGACCACAAGAACTTGGAATATCTCCGCACCGCCAAGCGTCTCAATTCCAGGCAAGCTAGGTGGGCCCTGCTTTTCACCCGGTTCAACTTCTCCCTCTCATACCGAGAATGTCAAGCCAGATGCGCTGTCACGCCGCTATAGCCCCGCTGCTACACCCCCGGAATCCAAGACCATCCTTCCCACCTTGTGCTTGGCGACAGCACTCAGTTGGGGAATAGGGAAGCAGGTCCAGGAGGCGCAGCGTTCCCAGCCGAACCCCGGTCCTGGAGTGGGCCCACTCCTCCAGGCTTGCCTGCCACCCGGGCTCCCGTCGGACCCTGGCCTTTGTGCGACAACGCTTTTGGTGGCCTACCAACTCCTGTAGCTCAGTTGGTAGAGCATGGCACTTGCAACGCCAGGGTTGTGGGTTCGATTCCCACGGGGGGCCAGTATGAAAAATGTATGCACTAACTGTAAGTCGCTCTGGATAAGAGCGTCTGCTAAATGACTAAAATGTAAAAAAAAAAATATCAAATGTAAATTCATTTATTCTAGTTTTCCCGGTTTTGACCATTCTGCCTGCCCTGACCCGGAGCCTGCCTGCTGTTCTGTACCTTGTCACACAACCCTGGATTATTGACCTCTGCCTGCCCTGACCCTGAGACTGCCTGCCGTTCTGTACCTTTTGGACTCTGATCTGGATTACTGACCTCTGTTTTTGTAATAAACTTTTGTTACTTCGACACTGTCTGCATCTGGGTCTTCTCCTGAAACGTGATAGTAACTCAGTAAAATATTTTAAATTGTTGCATGTTGCATTTATATTTTTGTTTGGAAAGTATTCAGACACCTTCCCTTTTTCAAAATTCTGTTACGTTACAGCCTTATTCTAAAATGGATTAAACAATTGTTTTTCCTTCATCAATCTACACACAATACCCCATAATGACAAAGCGAAAACATGTTTTTAGAAATGTTGGCAAATCTATTAAAAACCAAAAACATAAATACCTTATTTACATAAGTATTCAGCCCCTTTGCCTTGAGACAGGTGGATACTGTGTCCATTGATCATCCTTGAGATAATTCTACAACTCGATTGGAGTCCACCTGTGTTAAATTAAATTGATTGGACATGATTTGGAAAGGCACACACCTGTCTATATAAGGTCCCACAGTTGACAGTGCACGTCAGAGCAAAAAACAAGCCATGAGGTCAAAGGAATTGTCCGTAGAACTCCGAGACAGGATTGTGTCAACACAGATCTGGGGAAGGTTATTAAAACATTTCTGCAGCATTGAAGATCCCCAACAACATAGTGGCCTTCATCATTCTTAAATGGAAGAAGTTTGGAACCACCAATACTATTCATTTACATTTTACATTTACGTCATTTAGCAGACGCTCTTATCCAGAGCGACTTACAAATTGGGCAATTTGTTCCAAACTGAGCAATCGGGGGAGAAGGGCCTAGGTCAGGGAGGTGACCAAGAACCTGATGGTCACTCTGACAGAGCTCCAGAGTTCCTCTGTGGAGATAGGAGAACCTTCCAGAAGGACAACCATCTTTGCAGCACTCCACCAATCAGGCTTTTATGGTAGAGTAGCAAGACGGAAGCCACTCCTCAGCAAAAGGCACATGACAGCCCGCTTGGAGTTTGCCAAAAGGCACCTAAAGGACTCTCAGACCATGAGAAACAAGATTCTCTGGTCTGATGAAACCAAGATTGAACTCATTGGCCTGAATGCCAAGCGCAACGTCTGGAGGAAACCTGGCACCATCCCTGTGGTGGCAGCATCATGCTGTGGGGATGCTTCTCAGTGGCAGGGACTGGGAGACTAATCAGGATCGAGGGAAAGATGAACGGAGCAAAGTACAGAGAGATCCTTGATGAAAACCTGCTCCAGAGCGCTCAGGACCTCAGACTGGGGCGAAGCTTCACCTTCCAAAAGGACAATGACCCTAAGCACACAGCCAAGACAACACAGGAATGGCTTCGGGACAACTCTCTGAATGTCCTTGAGTGGCCTGGACTTGAACCCGATCTAACATCTCTGGAGAGACCTGAAAATAGCTGTTCAGCGATGTTCCCCATCCAACCTGACAGAGCTTGAGAGAATCTGCAGAGAAGAATGGGAGAACCTCCCCAAATACAGGTGTGGCAAGCTTGTAGCATCATAACCAAAAAAACTCAAGGCTATAATCGCTGCCAAAGGTGCTTCAACAAAGTACTGAGTAAAGGGTCTGAATACTTATGTAAATGTCATATTTCTGTATTTTATTTTTAACAAATTTGCTAAAACTTCTTTTTAAAAAAGAGTTTTTGATTTGTCATTATGGGGTATTGTGTGTAGATTGATGAGGGGATAATTAAAAAAAAATCAATTTTAGAATAAGGCTGTAAAGTAGCAAAATGTGGAAAATGTCAAGGGGTCTGAATACTTTCCGAATGCACTGTATCAGATTGATAAATATACGCCCTAAAACATATTTTTTTTTTTTACGTTAACCCCTAAACCCTAGCCTAGCTAACGTTAGCCACAACAAATTGGAAATCCTAACATGTCATACGTATTGGAAATTCACAACATATTGTACGAAATGCAATTCGTAACATATCATACAAATTGTAATTGGTAACATATCATAAGAAATGTATGATGGACATTCACAAATTAATACATACCATACGTATCATATCATACTAAATTGAGGGAGACAGATTTACGTTTACTATGTTATGTCTACTCCAGAGTCCAGGTTGATCTGCACTGCCTCAGTGAGTGATGTCCCTCCTGTATGTATACAGGAACACGAGTCCCAGGGAGGAGGACAGTATTACCGATGACAGTATTGGTAATGTGTTTTCAGACCCTCCCTTGGTCGTATTCTCGCGGGGCAGAAATCTCAGAGATCAATTGGTAAACTCTGATTTACCACCCCAAAATACCCCTACACCAACATATCCTTGAGCCTCTACCGGATGGAAACTACAAGTGTAATGGCAGCACTCAATGCAATGGCACTTACAAATGTAGATCATTCAAACATCCCCAAACAGAGAAACAGGTCACAATCAAAGGTGTTATCACGTGCTCCACTAAGGCAGTTATTTATCTTATAACTTGTCCTTGTGGTAAATATTATGTGGGCAAAACGAAGCGTGAAATAAAAGTACGAATTTCTGAGCATTGTAGCAACATTAGGTCAAAAACTCGACGTACCCAGATGCGGCCCACTTTTTGGAAGCGAACCACTCTATTTTGTCCCTTCGTTATATCAGCATCGAACACGTCCCCCTCCCTAGGAGAGGGGATGACCTTGACAATTTATTGTTAAAATGAGAGGCCGCTTGGACCTTTCATTTAATTTGCTATCCATTGTAAATAATGTTTGTAGGCCTATGTAGCCAAATTGTATCTATGATCGTATGTTATCCATTCATGCTTTTTTATATGTTCTATTTACAGTATATCTGTAAATCAACCAATGAAATCAAGATACAGCCGGCCATGATTACAGACACCTGTGTGTGTCCTTTCAAACTATGTAAACTAGTGACCCGTGGTGTTTGTCAATATATCCTGATGAAGACAGCTTGGCTGTCGAAACGTTGGTTATACAATTATTGCATCTGAGCTCCTGGAGTGTGCGGCTGTCCTTTTCTACTCCGCTAGCCAGCACCTCGCCTAAACAGGTGTGCGTTTCTTTCACCTTCAGGATAGAAAGCCAGACCATGTTGACCCTGAATGTGTCCCAAATGGCACCCTAGTCCCTACAGTGCTCTACTTTTGACCAGAGCCCTATGGGCCCTAGTCAAAAGTACGGCACTATATAGGGAAAAAGGTCCCATTTGGGATGAAGACCATGAGTGCAGTATAACCGATGAATAGGCTAGTAGCAGTAGCTTTCATCAGCCTCATAATGCAGCTTTTGTTGGGCTGGGTTTACCTTTGCTGTAGATGCAGCTGAAGTCCTTGGGTATGCAGGTGTTGTCACTTGTCTGTGGAGGGTTGATATTGTCAGAGGAGCTTCTCTGTTTACTCTCTGCCAAAATCTGCCCACCAGGTGTAGAGTTTTCTATGATGCTTTCTGGAACAAATAAACGGAGAGTACATGATGATCCAACACCAATATTGACATGTCTACTGTATATTGTCATGAGGAATTCTTTGAATTTTGAATTTTGCCTGTAAAGTAGAGACTGAAGATCGAAGGAAAGCATAGTAGTGAGGTGGGGTGTGAGGGCAGGGTGGGAAGAAGCATCATAGTAATTTATTGTAATTCGAATAAGAATAGAATGTTTCCCGTATATTCATCTATTGAAACCATGTAAGCAACAGTAGACTCAGGCCATGTAATCAGGAGCACAGTTTTGTGTGTAACCCAGTCTGCCCGTTTGAAGGATCAGAATGTAACCAAGGGCCAGGTCAGAGAAATAAACAGACTGCCAAAAGATGGTGAGTCTGGCCTGGAGGGACGAGTGTGTGTGCAGTTAATAGATACAAACGTAACGCAAGTAATTGCAACATATTAATACAACTAAAAAGTAGTCTGACTTGTTCTTTGTCTCCACTCAACAATATCAAGCAAATACAGAGTTCCCAACAAGATCACATGTTACAAATGTTATTTACATACCATGTGTACCATGTGAGTCCAAAATATTGTTCAAATAGATAGATATGCTAACATAAATATGGTTTCTTATTCATAGATATCATAATCAACTATTTATTTAAATAGCCTAAAGCCTTATCTCAGTGTTTACCGCTTTACCTGAGCGAATGTCTCAAAACACACACAACAAATCACATCATGACATAACTGACATAACCCCATAGAGATACCATAGAGATAATTGATATGCTCATTTGATTCTTACCTGGTAGCTGCAGGTAATCCATAATAAGTCCACATATGATTGAGTTCTGGGAGTGAAGTTTGTCCTGTATCTCACTGTTCCACTGCTGCCCCTCCATGAGATGCACCTGGAATGGTTGTGTGGACTATATAACCCCTGGAGGAACTAGGCGTGGTGGTGGGCGCATTATGACACAAGGCTATTCAACCTGAATGAAACAATGCTATTACATAACCCTTTGAGACTGAGAGAGACTCCCCAAAATGTTTCTGACAATCACTAGCTACCACATCAATTCATTATGATCTCTTCTGTCTTTTTTTGTTCTTTTGTGTGTAATTATTTGGCTCAAAATATCTTTGTGTGCTCACTCAACCTGCATACAGTACTCTGAAGGATCAAAAAGAGACTGTTGTGAATGTTTCCTTTGGTCTGAAGATATGATTGAAATGATTTATTAAAACTGGCAACTGGATTTATATGACATTAAAATAATGATTATTGTTTGTGAGAACATGTTTAAATATCTAGCTCAATTTTTTTCTTGATACACATGGTTTTACTCATATTAATGCATTTTAAACTCTTGGAATGTTGGTAATCTTTCTAGATTCTCATCTGAGAAGGTTGTTATTTGCATACAATACATTATGGCTTTATTTATTATAATATATTATGATCTGAGACATGTTTTTTCTGTAAATGTTTTAATGCTCACCCTGAAGTGTTTTGGTTAGATGACGAGCACAGGCTTGAAATCTTTTTTCGGACAGGGTGCAATGAATATTTAAGATTAATAAAGTTATTAATTTTTGAGTGATTAACACTATATGTTTTCCCTATCTGTAATACACATGATTTCCAGTGTTCTGGTTGTGTGGGTTGATGATCACTAGACTCGATGCTAGATGTTAAACTCATATCTGTTGATAGGGATTGATACAAGACTGGAGGTCCAAGGACCAAGGACACTAGTAATTTGTGAAAGACTGATTCTTTAGCAGCTGTCAAAGTTGTTTTGACTTCCTGGTGCTGTGTAATTAGGATATAAGGGCCTTCTCGACGAAGGCCAAGATAGACATTATTCTCTGCTCCTGTGCGGGATACTGTGCTCCCTGTTTGCAAACTTGTATTAAACCAGATTGATTTATGATTGACTATATGTTTTTTTGTTTTTTATATATCCGTGACTGCATTTCTCTTTTGTTCACCTGAAAATTCCCTTTACAGTTTGGTGATGAGGATGGGATGTGAACAGCCAGCTGGGCGAATGGCTTTGGTCAAAAAATAAGAAAGATAAGGCTGAGAAGGCAGCTGTGTTGATACAGTATGTGACATTTATCTGACATATTGTTTAAAAAGCTATATGGATCCCCTGTTATCAATACTCCAGCACCCTCTCCATTGCGAGGATAACGACACTGAGCCTTTTTCTAAAATGTTTTATGAGATTGGAGAACACATTGGGAGGGATCTTAGACCATTCCTCCATACAGAATCTTTTGAGATCATGTGCTTATGGACTGTCCTCTTCAATTCAAGCCACAGGTATTCAGTGGGGTTGAAGTCTGGAGAATTTGATGTGTGCTTGGGGTTATTGTCTTGCTGGAAGATCCATTTGCAGCCAAGTTTCGGCCTCCTGGCAGAGGCAACCTGGTTTTTGACTAAAATGTCCTGGTACTGGGTAAAGTTCATGATGCCGTTGACCTTAACAAGGGCCCCAGGACCAGTGGAAGCAAAATAGCCCCATAACATCAAAGATCCACCACCATATTTTATGGGGTTCTTTTCTGCTTATGCATCCTTATTTCGACGCCAAACCCACCAATGGTGTGCATGGCCAAAGAGCTCTTTTCATGTTATCCAACAAATGTAAACTCCTGGAGTTTGCAAAAAGGCATTGGCACATGGATTGAAACCAGTGCTATGGTCAGATGCAGGGTCGTCTCTAGCCTTTTGGGGGCCCTAAACCAGATTGGTTGGGGAACACCCTACTGCGGCAAAACATTTTAGTGGTCCTTCTCTTGACGGCGGAGAGAAAAATGTACATTTGGCAGAGTTGCAAAGAAAAAGGCAATTTCTCAGACTGCCCATCTTAATCTTTTATTGTTTTGGCCAGTCTGAGATATGGCTTTTTCTTTGCAACTCTGCCTAGAAGGTCTGCATCCCGGAGTCGCTTCTTCACTGTTGACGTTGAGACTGGTGTTTTGTGGATACTATTTAATTAAGCTGCCAGTTGAGGACCTGTGAGGCGTCTGTTTCTCAAACTAGACACTCTAATGTATTTATCCTCTTGCTCAGTTGTGCACCGGGGCCTCCCACTCCCCTTTCTATTCTGGTTAGAGCCAGTTTGTGCTGTTCTGTGAAGGGAGTAGTACACAGTGTTGTACGAGATCTTCAGTTTCTTGGCAATTTCTCGCATGGAATAGCCTTCATTTCTCAGAACAAGAATAGACTGACGAGTTTCAGAAGAAAGTTATTTGTTTCTGGACATTTTGAGCCTGTAATCGAACCCACAATTGCTGATGCTCCAGATACTCAACTAGACTCAAGAAGGCCAGTTTTATTGCTTCTTTAATCAGCACAACAGTTTTCAGCTGTGCTAACATAATTGCAAAAGGGTTTTCTAATGATCAATTAGCCTTTTAAAATGATAAACTTGGATTAGCAAACACAACGTGCCATTGGAACACAGGATTGATGGTTGCTGATAATGGGCCTCTGTACGGCTATGTAGATATTCCATAAAAAAATCAGCCGTTTCCAGCTACAATAGCCATTTACAACATTAACAATGTCTGCACTGTATTTCTGATCAATTTTATGTTATTTTAATGGACAAAAAAATTGCTTTTCTTTCGAAAACAAGGACATTTCAAAGTGACCCCAAACTTTTGAACGGTAGTGTATATACAGTTGAAGTCGGAAGTTTACATACACCTTAGCCAAATACATTTAAACTCAGTTTTTCACAATTCCTGACATTTAATCCTAGTAAAAATTCCCTGTCTTAGGTCAGTTAGGATCACCACTTTATTTTAAGAATGTGAAATGTCAGGATAATAGTAGAGAGAGTAATTTATTTCAGCTTTTATTTCTTTCATCACATTTTTTACATTTACATTTTAGTCATTTAGCAGACGCTCTTATCCAGAGCGACTTACAGTTAGTGATTACATATTTTTTTTATACTGGCCCCCCGTGGGAATCGAACCCACAACCCTGGCGTTGCAAACGCCATGCTCTATCAACTGAGCTACATCCCTGCCGGCCATTCCCTCCCCTACCCTAGACAACGCTGGGCCAATTGTGCGCCGCCCATGAGTCTCCCGGTCGCGGCCGGCTGCGACAGAGCCTGGATTCGAACCAGGATCTCTAGTGGCACAGTTAGCACTGCGATGCAGTGCCTTAGACCACTGCGCCACTCAGGCCACTGCGCCACTCATCACATTCCCAGTGGGTCAGAAGTTTACATACACTCAATTAGTATTTGATAGCATTGCCTTTAAATTGTTTAACTTGCATCAAACGTGTCGGGTAGCCTTCCACAAGCTTCCCACAATAAGTTGGGTGAATTTTGGCCCATTTCTCCTGACAGAGCTGGTGTAACTGAGTCAGGTTTGGAGGCCTCCTTGCTCGCACAGGCTTTTTCAGTTCTGCCCACAGATTTTCTATAGGATTGAGGTCAGGGCTTTGTGATGGCCACTCCAATAACTTGACTTTGTTGTCCTTAAGCCATTTTGCCACAACTTTGGAAGTATGCTTGGGGTCATTGTCCATTTGGAAGACCCATTTGCGACCAAGCTTTGACTTCCTGACTGATGTCTTGATATGTTGCTTCAATATATCCACATAATATTCCTTCCTCATGATGCCATCTATTTTGTGAAGTGCACCAGGCCCTCCTGCAGCAAAGCACCCCCACAGCATGATGCTGCCACCCCGTGCTTCACGGTTGGGATGGTGTTCTTCGGCTTGCAAGCAGCCCCCTTTTTCCTCCAAATATAACGATGGTCATTATGGCCAAACAGTTCTATTTCTGTTTCATCAGACCAGAGGACATTTCTCCAAAAAGTACGATCTTTGTCCCCATGTGCAGTTGCAAAACGTAGTCTGGCTTTTTTATGGTGGTTTTGGAGCAGTGGCTTCTCCTTGCTGAGTGGCCTTTTAGGTTCCGTCGATATAGGACTCGTTTTACTGTGGATATAGATACTTTTGTACCTGTTTCCTCCAGCATCCTCACAAGGTCCTTTGCTGTTGTTCTGGGATTGATTTGCACTTTTCGCACCAAAGTACGTTCATCTCTAGGAGACAGAATGCGTCTCCTTCCTGAGCGGTATGATGGCTGCGTGTTTATACAGTGAGGGAAAAAAGAATTTGATCCCCTGCTGATTTTGTACGTTTGCCCACTGACAAAGAAATGATCAGTCTATAATTTTAATGGTAGGTTTATTTGAACAGTGAGAGACAGAATAACTACAAAAAAATCCTGAAAAACGCATGTAAAAAATGTTATGAATTGATTTGCATTTTAATAAGGGAAATAAGTATTTGACCCCTCTGCAAAACATGACTTAGTACTTGGTGACAAAACCCTTGTTGGCAATCACAGAGGTCAGACGTTTCATGTAGTTGGCCACCAGGTTTGCACACATCTCAGGAGGGATTTTGTCCCACTCCTCTTTGCAGATCTTCTCCAAGTCATTAAGGTTTCGAGGCTGACGTTTGGCAACTCGAACCTTCAGCTCCCTCCACAGATTTTCTATGGGATTAAGGTCTGGAGACTGGCTAGGCCACTCCAGGACCTTAATGTGCTTCTTCTTGAGCCACTCCTTTGTTGCCTTGGCCGTGTGTTTTGGGTCATTGTCATGCTGGAATACCCATTTTCAATGCCCTGGCTGAGGGAAGGAGGTTCTCACCCAAGATTTGACGGTACATGGCCCCGTCCATCGTCCCTTTGATGCGGTGAAGTTGTCCTTTCCCCTTAGCAGAAAAACACCCCCAAAGCATAATGTTTCCACCTCCATGTTTGACGGTGGGGATGGTGTTCTTGGGGTCATAGGCAGCATTCCTTCTCCTCCGAACACGGCGAGTTGAGTTGATGCCAAAGAGCTCGAT